TTTCTCTCCCTGTCCCTTCTTGCTTGTTTTAAGTGTGATCCTTCCAGACATAACTCCATTATTTTCCAAATTTTTTTTTTTACATTCACACTTCGTCTAACTGTTCCAGCTCACTATGATCTCATCGTTTCCTGTATGCTATATAGCACCTACAATCTGGATTCCTCTTTAAAATAAATATATACACCTTATTTATGTACTAGAGTGCATGTCTATTCTTTTAACCTCTTAAAGGTAGAGAATGTAAGGTATACTTTATGTTGCAGCACATATGAAAATGTTGAGTATAAATATCACTGAAGATTAACATCTGGATTCTACATTTGTTATGAAGTTGTCATTACTAAGATTATCACATGATGGTTTAGTCATTATAACCTTTGAGTCATGAATACTCTTCCTTTGACAAACACCATATGTTTGTGATACTACACAGATTTAAAATTTCATTTTTTCTCCTCCACAACACCATAACTAGAGTAAAGGAAATTTGCCTTAAAAGAGACATTATCAATGACATAAATCTCACTAAATGAGTTTTAGACTCTCTAGAATTGAGAAACTTTAATGTGGTAAACTTAGCTTTAGGGTATTTATGATACAGTGACTGGTTAGGAAAGCGTATTATTCATTATCATTATACCTTTATTAAATGCCACTTCTATACTAGATCCTAGGCATTGGACAACCAGTATGTGTAAGACCAGCTGTGCATAAAATTAGTAGTGCTACACAGTCGCTGAGAATTTCTGTTTGAGACAGTTGTGTCAACAAGTATTGTAAATGTAGAGATTTGAAGTGACTCCTGAAGGAGATCAGTTTTTGAGCAAGATTCTGAAAGAAGGGATGACATTCTAAGTGAAGTATTTCATGCATGTGCTAAGAATGGACAGAGTATGTTCATGAAACACAGACTCTTTGAATGTGGTATTTTTATAAAGTCGTAAATTGTGTAAGTTGTGGCTAAGGTATGGAGGATTTTGACTTATATTCTTTTCATCGTCTTCATTATGTAGGTAGTGGGGAACGTTTTTGGGTTTTGGAATAGAGGCTGGAATCTACAGATTGGTTATTCGGAAATCAAATCTGAAGAAGTAGAGTCATAGGGAATACAGAGTTTGAAGGCAAATTGAATTCATGTTCTTTGACTCCTCATTACTCTATCACATTTTCTTTTTAAATTTTTTCTTAATTTTATGTTAGTATTCAGTAGTTGTGTTATGCTAAAAGTCTTCAGATTATAGTATGGTTCATATTTAACCTTCTTAAAACATAATATTTTAGGCTGGGCGCGGTGGCTCAAGCCTGTAATCCCAGCACTTTGGGAGGCTGAGGCGGGTGGATCACAAGGTCAAGAGATCGAGACCATCCTGGTCAACATGGTGAAACCCCGTCTCTACTAAAAATACAAAACATTAGCTGGGCATGGTGGTGCGTGCCTGTAATCCCAGCTACTCAGGAGGCTGAGGCAGGAGAATTGCCTGAACCCAGGAGGCGGAGGTTGCGGTGAGCCGAGATCGCGCCATTGCACTCCAGCCTGGGTAACGAGCAAAACTCCGTCTCAAAAAAAAAAAAAAAAAAAAATTTTAATCAAAACAATGTTATGTTCTCCTTGTTTATAAAAAAGAACTACAAAGGAGGCCATTGCACTCATCTGGTTTGCACACATGTAGGCCAGGCCAGAGATGATTACTGTTACTGCTTCGTGAGTTTTTTTTTGTGTGTTATTTTTAAGAAATACCTCTAAGTGTTACTCTTGTTAACAACATTTTATACAGTAAACTTGATCTTTACTTTCTTGTTATGATAGGTGACGATGTAACTCACTTCACCTTTTACTGATTTTTATTTCTTCATTTATCATTGTAACAGTAAATAACATCTTTGTATTTCTTGTTCATTAACTCTGGATGATTTTTTTGATTCACTAATTGGTGATATGAAGATTAGCAAGCGTACTCTCCCCCTTAACCTCTTCTTCTCTTTACCTGCCAAATTCAGTTGGCTATCCTATATTTGATGTCCATTCCATCCTGTAACCATGTTTATTATATCTGTGCTCTGCTTATAGGTTGATTTAAAAAGTTAAAAGGGAATGAACAGCATTTACATTATTATTTCTGCATAAACAGCATCAGTGACAAAGCAGTAGTTATCATTATGATTCATTTTCGATAGTGCCCTTGTTTATAACCCCTGACCCACTCAGAAGAATATTCTCAAATAATCTTTCTCATCACCAGTTGATTGAAATTATGATACATTTTTATATGCTGCCTATTTGGACCTTGTCTCTTATGTTCATTTTTTTGTTTTTATTTTTCCTATTGTGGAAATAAATATGGTTTTCTTACTATAGATTTAATATGTTCTGTCTCTTTATGATTCTAATAATTACGTAGGATCTTTCCATCTTGACATCTAAATTCCTGTTCTACATTATATTGGTTGCATCATAGCTTCACAGACTACAGCTTTTTTACATCTTCTCCCCTTCCTACCTCACTACATTTATAGTTGCCTTTTTTTCCTCTCTTACAGTGCTTTATTATAGTCCTAAGTTTTCTTGGTTTTTCATTCATACTACCTTTTCTATCAATTATATCTTAAGGTAATTTTCTAAGAATGTGGGAGTAAATTTCAGATTGCTTACATTTCCATGAACATGTTTATTTCAAACTTAATTATTTGTCTCCATATGCAATTCTAAATAGAAAATAATATTCTGAAGGAATTCTCCATTTGCTGTTATCTAGTGTTGGTAATGAGCAATCCAGTCCCAATCTAATTGCTTGTCCTTGTTGAGGAAACTTTTTTCTCTGAAAACCTTCAGGATCTCCTTTTTATCTATAGTGTTCTGCTATATCACAGTATTTCTCTAGATTATTCTTTTCTCATTCCTCTTATTCAGAACTGGGAAATGATCTTAATTTGAAGATTTAATCCCCTTTAATTGTATTGTTTCCAGAAATATGATTTTCTCTGTTTTGTCTCTCTTCTATTTCTGTGACACCTGTTTGAAAAAGGACTTACCAGATTATATCTCTAGGTCCTTCTCCTTCCCTCATATATTCCACCTATGCCATTTTGTTCTGTGAATTTTGTGTGACTTTGTCTTCTAATGTTGGTGTTTTATTTGAGCAGTCATATTTGAAATGTATATAAGTGCTCTCTCTTTTACTTTCTTTGTTCCTTTTTTATATGATGCTGTTTTTCTTTTCTTCTTCTATGAATACTACTGAACAAAGCAGTGTTTATATTCTCCCCCTAGGTTTGTCGAGAATACAAAGGCCTGACTAGACCTGGGTAGATTCTCAGGGTTGTGTGTGCAGTGACAAGCATTAAAGAGTAAGATGTCTCCCACTGAACAAAGTATCATCTTACTATTACTTACCGTAAAAACCGTAATTGAAACCTAGTGTTTCTCTTCTGTAACACAGTCACCTGTTTCGTGCAGGAGTCTATGAAGAACCCTTTCTGTTACTCTGTGAGACTTGGGGCATAGGGAACTGACGCAAATGAAAATGAAGTAATAGAGTCCCTTTTCTCTGACCCAGGAAACAGTAACAGGCTGGCTTGTTAGCTTATATTATATGTATGGTAAAAGCTCAGACCTTGTACAAATACTGTATTCTTGACAAATAGAATATCTTTTCTGAATTTTTCTAAGTATGTTACAATTACATTTTCCTTTTAATTTTTTAAAATTCTTTTAGCATCTGTTTGGGGAAGTTTTTAAGAAATCATATTAGATTCTCCTCAAATCAGTCTTTTTTTTTTTTTTTTTTTTTTTTGGTGAACACTAACATTGGGACTCGTTGCGGAGGGGGCAGAAGTTTCGTCTGCTATTGAATATTAAGAAGTTTAATTATGACATCTATTTTTAGCTTCATGGTTTTTTTTTTTTAAATCTCCAGACTCTGCTGCTACTGTAGCTAATATTTTTCTAGATTCTTATTGTACTGTAATCTCCTTTGAGAGTCTAACTTCCTCCATCAAAACTTTTCACCAGCTGTTTTTCAGATGTTTGTGGAAATCATTCTTTCTGCTGCTGACTCTACCCAAGTCCTTTTGTTATTGTTAGATTGTACCTTTTTGTTTCTTTACTTTCATTTTGGGAACAGGGAAGAGATAAACTCCAGAGAATAGTCAACCGGATGGAAGAAGCAATTTTATTTTTTAAAAGTGTCTTAGCAATAACATGTTGCTTCTTATTTCTATTACTGTGCTTAACATCCTCCTATAAGTGCCATTTTTCTGATTCTCCTCTCTTCCTACATCTAAATATAAAGTTTTATCATCTGGAAAATTAGCAAAATATCTAATAAAAATGTGTTCAAAGTAGAAAAAATATCATCTTAGAGAAGGATTTGTTTGTGGCATCTGGTTTAGCTACGAAGAGAAATCTTTGCTTATTTTGGTTTGAATGTAAATGCATTTTTAGATAAATGGAATGAATATATAAAGTGCAGTATAACTGTATTTACAATTTTAAAACTTCTTATGAATTTTGTTTTTCTGTGAAGCTAAATTGCAAATATTATTAAAAATTGGTCTTTGCATTTTTCTAAACATTATTGGAAGATTTAATTTATGTATATAGGAATGCTGCAAAATGTTTTTATTCTCTAGAGTAAGAGTTGGCAAAAATTTTTATTTAAAGGGCTAGACTTTGTGATACATGTAGTTGCTGTTTTATTGTTACAACTACTCAGCTTTGCCCTTATATTACAATAGCAACCATAAGCAATATGTAAATGAGTAAATGTGACTGTGTTGCAATAACGCTGTATTTGTGAACATCAAAATTTGAATTTTATAGAATTTTCACACCAGAGAATACTTTTTTTATAACTGTTAAAACTATATTTTAAAAAGTATACTTCACTTGTAATCTATACAGTAATTGGCCAGTGTTTGCCCTAGAGTTGTCTGTTTTATTAATTGCTTTATAGATGCTTCAATACTGATGTTTCACTGTGCCCCATTATTCTTATCAGGCAAGCTAATGAAGAATATCAAATACTGGCAAACTCCTGGCGCTACTCATCTGCTTTCTGTAACAAGCTCTTCTTCAGTATGGTGGACTACGATGAAGGGACGGATGTTTTTCAACAGGTAAAAGAGTTACATCTTATTCATATATTAACATACTTGTTAGTGGGCAATACATTTTTGTTTGGCACATAAAAACAGAACTCACTCATCATCTGACCCTGGGAGGCGGAGGTTGCAGTGAGCTGAGATTGTGCCACTGCACTCCAGTCTGGGGGACAGAGCGAGACTCTGTGACACACACATACACACACACACACCCTGCCCCACACACACACCCCCCCACACCCACCCACCCACCCACCACACACCATACCTAATTCATTCAATAAGTTAAATACAGTAAGTAGTTATAATAAATTTTGTCAATGTGATTAACATAATTGTGGCTAAACTTATTTTTATCATTGTACAGGTTTTCGCCGTTATGTTAAATCCATTTTAACTATTGCATAATACAGGCAATGTGTTTTTTCAGCATGCAGTGGCAGTTTACATGCATCAGTCTTATTTTGGTATTCAATTATAGGTAGTACTATATTATAGGTAGTATTTTGCAAGATTTGTGACATTTTATATAAAATCTATTGGAAGTTTTACTTAACTGTTATTTTTTTCCAATGTGGCAGATACAGATAATTTTACATATAAAGGATTAAATGTCTGTTTAAAAGTATTTTCTCTATGTTATGGACTGAATTATATCCCCCCAAATTCATAAGTTGAAGCCATAGCTCCCAGTGTGACTGTATTTGAAGATAGGGCCTTGAGGGAAGTAATTAAGGTTAAATGAGCTCCTAAAGGTGGAACCCTAGTTCGAAAGGACTGATGGCCATATAAGACGAGGAATCAAGAGCAGGAGTGCATGTGCACAGAGAAAAGGGCCATGTTAGAACACAGCAAGGTGATGGCCACAAGACAAAAGAGAAGCCGCACTTGAAACCAACTGTGCTGGCACCTTCATCTTGGACTTTGAGTCTTCAGAATTGTGAAAAATAAATTTCTGTTGTTTAAGCCACCTACTCTGGAATTTTCTGTTACAACAACCCAAGCAAACAAATAAACTTATTTACTCAATCTTCTCTAAGGAGCAAGGTATTGCACTTGAGATTGGAATGCTCAATTATCATCGACGTTGTCATGGTTGTATCCATGATCTTTGTTGACATCCTATCAAGAGCTTACGTTCAGGCACTGTTGTAAGGGCTTCATATGTATTATTTCATCTAGCTTCACAGTGAGGAAAATGTTGTTACTGGCTCCATTTCATAGATGAGGAAATAAGGAATGAAGAGATTATTGCTTGTCCCAAGTAACAAAGTTAATGTAATGTGTAACTAGAATTCAAACTCAACTGTCTGGCTTCCAGAGCCCTAGCCCTTAATCATGCTATTACCCTGGAGTTAATTTTTTTAAAAAATGTTTTTGCTATGCGAGTAATCCCTTTAAAATGCAGAACTTATTGCAGTCTTGGAATTGATCCTTTTGGGTATCTTGGACTATTCAGTTTTTCTCACATGTGATACTGTTTGGCATAATGCTTACTGGGTCATGAAAAAGCACGTAGCTCTGTAAAGAATCTAGCCTACTAATTGTAAATCACCATTAGTGAACATTTTTACTTATTTGCTTCCATATTATCTTTCTTGTGAGTTTCTAGTTGAATAAAATAATTTTTTTTCTGTTTGCCATTTTGCTCCTATATTCCCTATTCTATAGGAGCAATAAATTTAGCAAGAAAAACATAGATTCTTCTTTTGTGTAAGCAGCGTACAGATTAGGGAGCTAATATTAATCAAGGAAAATTACTGTACTATAAGAACCAAATATTATTTCATGTATATTTCACTTATAGATCTCTATGGAACCTCAGGATAATTGGCCTTAGAGATCATCAGATAGAAGTGCTCCTTGTTGTATACTTGAATCCTCCCTATCATATTGGTAAACAGTCTTCTAGGTCCAGCAGGACTGCTAGAGCAGGGTCTTGCAGCCCAGATATCTACCATGACTAGACCTGTGAACCAAATGAAGAAAGTTAGCTGGGTTAGTTTAGTTTCATTATATCTTTGTTATGCCATTTTTGTTGATAATATGTTATCTTTGTTTTGTTATGATACCTAATATACTATGTACATACTTAGCATATTAAACATCATATTTACTTTTACAAATAGGCTTTCTCCTATTTTTATCAAAACACTGCCTTTCTTGGTATGTCTTTTTAAAAAATCCTTAACAGAAACACTCATATTTCACTTTTTAAACGTATTTTTATTTCATAACTACTGTAAGAAACAAAATTGCCAAAACATCGTGATCTGATCCTTGGTGTCAGTGTTGGGGAAGCAGTATGGTGTGGGTGGGGACTGTAGCAGATTGGAGAGAGGACGTGCTTGACCTCAGTGGGAGAGGCACAGCTCAGTATCAGCTCTGTGGAAGAAATGTAGGCCACATGTAGCTAGATCTCTCTCAAGAAAAGATCTAAATACAAAATTTTATATGAAATTTCTCACTTTAAAGTGTTGACAGTTAATTCATATTTTAAAAAAAAAAACTTTATGGGATATTGCTGTCTTTGTGTTGAGTACTGAATGTAGGCTCCTGGTATATAATCGTATAAATAAATGGTTATATATAATCTTTAAATTCTTTTCTATGCTTTAGATAAAATTATTCTAAAGTTTGGTGTATAACAGTTGAAGTCAGTTGTTTTTAATTGAAACATTTCCTGAGGTTAATTTTGATTCAGCAGGAATCCTGGTAGAGAACTGCTTTGTGTTTCCCAAAACCTAGCCCTTGGCTTAGCAACAGGAATTTCCATTTTAAAAGGCAGAAATGTGTAAAAGTTATAGCAGTTAATGAGTTTTATGAGGAATTTTAATCTACGAAAATGGAGAAGTATATGCTTTGCTTCACTTGAGAAACACTAAAAGATTTTTAATGCTTATTTTTTTCCACCTGACTATTAAATCATATTTTGTTGAAGTACTTTCTCTGAATTGATGTTTTAAAGCACTGTCAGCAGTAATGTGGTGTCTGAAGATAATATTAATAACAAGTACAGAAATTTGGTAATTTGTTGAGGACTTACTGGGAAAGTAACTTCAATTATACGTGATTCCATAAGAGCGGCTGAGGCTAGATGTCTGATGATAGCCAGTGGGTTGATGAACATGATGTGTTAGAAGAAGCTCTCAGCTAGGAAACAGGTCTGTGTTGTACTCTGTTGTGGGTCGCCCCGGGGAATTGTGCACTTTAAGAAAAAAGACTTAGAATTATATGAGATTTTAAGAATCTCTAAAGTTCTAGAACGTTAGGCCATAGTATGGATTTTCTGATGGTTTTCATGTGGGGAGTGAGGAAGATAGGGATTTTCAGCTTCATAATTTTGTATTTACATGGTTGCTTTAGATGTCTGTATATCGATGAAAGAAACACACATGAATAAAGTATGGAGTGGGAGAAGCACAGGGAAGAACAAACTGGTAATTGTGTGCCTTGTTCAGTTTAATGAACATTTCTAAATATCCATTCCATGGAAGCCCACTGCTGGGAAATGGAATAAGACAGACTCCTGATGTACAGCGCCATATAACGCGGATTATATACATTAGAGACATTTTTTTATATATGTTATATATACATGCTATATGTTATGTGTGTGATGTTTATACCGTATTGCACAAGCTTGTGCTTACAATTCAGTCTTCTAATGAACTAATTAAAAAAGATTTATGGAAAAAAAAATCATAAAAGCCTGGTGAAAATGGTAAAACCCCCTTCTCTACTAAAAATACAAAAATTAACCTGGCGTGGTGGCACATGTGTGTAATCTTAACTACTTGGGAGACTGAGGTAGGAGAATTGCTTGAACCAGGACCCTGGAGGCAGAGGTTGCAGTGAGCCAAGATCATGCCACTGCACTCCAGCCTGGGCAACAGAGCAAGACTCCATCTCAAAAAAAGTAAGTTTTCACTGAATGGAGATAGAGTTCAGAAAGTATTATGATATCCTTGTTGGGAAGATTAAAATAAGATAATAATGTTAGAGTAAGTAGCTACGCAGACATGAGCAGGGCAGGAGAGGGTCCCCACCGCAGGTGACCATCATGTGACGGTCAGGTAGTGGTTAACCTTTCTCGCTAAAATAATAATTGATTGCAGCTGCAGGGAAAGGCGGGCTTCCAGTAGATAGAAAACACCTGCAGATGGTAATCAGCCACTTCCTGATAAGATCTTAGGACTCAAAAGAGTAGGCTCAAGCATGCGCTCTAAGAAAAAATGGCAGAGTTTAACTGTTAAATAACCTTTGTCTGGGACCACCTTTTCAGGTATTTGTTACAGCAGCACCTGGTGTCTCTGAGACCACTGTTTGTCTTAGTCTATTTTGGACTGCCATAACAATACCTGAGACTGGATAATTATAATGAACAGAAATTTATTTCCCACAGCGTTAGAGGCTGGAAGTCCAGTATTTATCTGCCAACATCTTGTGAGGCACTTGCAGCTGCATCACATGGCAGGAGGTGACAGTGTGACAGATTCAAGAGGAGGCTCAACTTGCACTTTTATAATAGTGCTGATCCCACCCATGAGGATGGAGCTCTCATGGTCTAACCACCTCTTAAAGTTTCCACCTTTTAATATTGCTACAATGGCAGTTAGATTTCAACATGAGTTTTGGCAGGGACACTCAAACTGTATCAAACAAGGACTGACGTAATCTTTAGCCGTAGTGTTTGAAGAGTACTGATGTAGATAACATGGAGGTAAATAATAGAAATTTGATTGCATTTGCAGTACTAAAAATGAGACATTTTTGATATAGAGTCATTTCTTTTGAGTAGTCACCTTGTTTGTGCTAAGTTATATGAAGCACTATAAAATGATTTGGAGCTGTCTTGTAAATATGACTGCTGTAGTCAGAATTCATTCGTAGGGCAAGAACTGTTTTGGTCTTGACTGTGTACTTGGTTATTAAACTTAGTTGTTATGGGGAACTAATCTTTTACTGCTCTATCATTTTCTTGATGTCATCTGTGATCTAATATATGCTTATATATTGATTTTCATTTTCATTATTAGAAAACACTGAACTGTGTTGCAAGTCAAGAGCTGAAAATCTCCTGGCCTTTCATTTTAAAACGTGTTTTGTAATTCCTAGGCAACAGCAATTTGATCCATATATATATTTGTAGTTTATTCCTTACTGTAAGGTACCTTAATATATGTTTTTAGATACTATATTGTTAAATAAACATCATTTATACTGGGGAAGTGTTCTGTTTAGTGTACTTTTCAAATAGAAATTACTCATAGAGAATATTTTTGAAATATAGCCAATTTAAGACAGTTGAGTTAATAGAGAAGTTGAGCAGAAAAAGACTATTATTGAGAATTTCTCCTGCATTGTCTGGTAAATTTAACTTGTGTAGAGCAGAAATGTTGGTTTCTCTTTCATAGTCATCATCATTACAAAAAAGTAAAGGCTTTACATTTCTAATAGGGAACTCAGTCTACTTACAACTTGTTTGAAATTAATTCCATAATATGTTTATTTTTTAAATCAAATTCCTGCATTTTTAAAAATAAGTGCCTAAGAAGTGAAATAATTATTGTACTGCCAAATTGCTGTTTCCGCTTTGCACTTTCAGTCTTTTTTTTTTTTTACCCTAACTGTAGAATTCAAGAAAGAAAAAGAATGAAATGACTAATAAAATATAGAGAATATAATGGATAACATGAATGATGTATGTTAAATGTGAGGATTAAGAGAACTTAGTCAAATTTACAAGTTTTTTTTTCATCCAGTAGTGCATTAAGATAAATAAAAACAAATTTACCTCTGGAAAACCACTTGGATTTCATAGTAAATGCTGTTTTCCCCAAATTTCTACAGAGAAAAGTGTAAAATGTTGGGTTAATGATAAATATTGTGGGAATGATACTATATTTAGTAATTTTTAACTCATGTTTTACAGCTCAACATGAACTCTGCTCCTACATTCATGCATTTTCCTCCAAAAGGCAGACCTAAGAGAGCTGATACTTTTGACCTCCAAAGAATTGGATTTGCAGCTGAACAACTAGCAAAGTGGATTGCTGACAGAACAGATGTTCATGTATGTTTTTATTCTCTGCAGTTTTAATGATAGGCTGGTTAGTTTGGTTTTTTGGAGCATTTTAATAAGGCCACAGTATTTTTAAATTTCTCTCTGGTTATTTCTCCTTGCAGAGAGAAAACTACATTCAGTCACTGCAAATAAATTGAACTTTGACTGTTAGGTAAATTCAGACGGTTTTTAAAATAATGGTTCATTGATATTTTAAAAGCCATTAAAAAGCACAGGATTTATCACAAGGTAATTTCAGAGGCTAAAAACTATATTTTCAATGGTTCAGTGGTAGTAATCAAGGAAATTCTAATTAAAAAGCAAGATATATAATTTTTATCAATCTTTTGGGCAAACAGAAAAGGTTAATACCCACCTTAAAGCTATGTGGAAAAATATCGACTCATATTTACTACTTTTGGGTATAACCATACTAATAGCATGTGCCGTGTGTTTATGTAATTTAACTTAACAATTCCACTTCTAGGAATTTAATCTAAGGATGCAATCAAGGATGATTTAATTTTTGATCCATAGAAATTTTGAAAATAATACTGGAAAAAATTGAATATAAATCAAATGTCTAAAAATAAGAGAATAATTAAATATACTATATCATAGCCAAAAAATGATTTGCAAGAATATTTTACCTAGAATGAAACTCAAGGTATAAAAAGTTTAAAAGTAGGTTAAAAATAGTATTAGTTGATAGTAAGATCTATTAGTTTGTTATAAAATGTAACTGTGAGTATAGATAGATATAGACAGTTTATTATGGGAAGAAGTGAACCAAAATGTTGATGGTAGTTAATACTTACTTGGAGGTTTTATGGCCATTTTTTTCTCTCTGCTCACAACTATTTTCAACAGTAAACAATTGGGATCAGTTATTTAAAAAAAAAAAAAAAGTTCATGGTGGCAGTAATACAGAAGCATTAATTTTTACCATAAAATATAAACACATTTCTGAGTCAAGGTGGTAATCTGCCATATGGTGCTACTGTCGTTGTAAAGTTACATCACTGGTTTTAATGACATTTTGGTAAGTAAACTTACTTCCTGATGCTTGGCATTTTTTAATGATTTGGCAAATATTTTGCTATGCAATGCATCATTTAATTGGTGCTAGACATTTAAGAGTAATACTGAAAGGGTACTGTTGTTTCCTTTTAAGAAATGTTAAATTTTAATCAGAAATTATTCTAACCTATCTCCTTAGCAAACTGATGCATTTAGTCGATAGATATACTTTGGGGGAAAAAAAGCTGTATGTGGAAAGAATTTCTAAAATTTTTTAGAAATGAAAATAATACAGTGCCAATGTATACTCTTTATTCAGGTTCAATTGTTGTTAACATTTTACGCCATTTGCTTTGTGATTGTCATTCTCCCCACTACACCCATGTCTCTTTGCCTTTCTCCACACACACAGACACATATGCACAATTTTCTTTTTTATGGAAAAAAAAATTGGGGTGAATTGCATATTGAAAGAAATAAGCAAAGCATAGTTATCAACTTCACAAATTTACATTTATATAATACTTTTATTAGAGCTACCACTGACCATATTACAATTTTGTCAAGTGACCTAATATCCTTTACATTTTTCACCTTCAGTACAAGATTTGGTCTAGAGTTAGCTATTTCATTTAATTGTCCTATCTTTTAAGCTTCTTTTAATCTGGAATATTTCTATAACCTGTCTTTTTTCTTTAAAAACATTGACACTTTGAACAATATAGGCCTTTGATGCATTATGATCCTCGTTTGATCTGCCTCATGTTTGCTCATGATTGACTTCTGCTTATGCATTCTTGAATATAATACTACATAGGTCATGTTCTGTTTTCATCACCTCAATAGGCACGTAAAGTTCATCTGTCCTTCACTGGTGGTATGAATTTCAAATATCTGATCAAGATGTTTCCCATTTTTTCACTGTATAATTACTGTTATTTTTGTCCTTCATAATTAATAAGCTGTCTATGTGGAGATACCTTAAGATTATGCAGATATCCTGTTGCTTCAATTTTTTTTTTTTTAAAGTTAGCATACATTGATGATTCTTGACTGTCACATGTTTTACCATTTTGATACAAAATGATGTTTCTACTTGTAGCTCTTTCTTTCATATTTGTAGTTGGCCCTCAGCATTCTCCTGTAAGCAAGAGCCCCACTCTATTGATCCATCCATCCTTCCATCCATTCCTCCATCCTCCAATTATCTGTCATTGGTATGAACTTATGAATTGTGATTTGTATTATAAATAATTTTATATATGTTTTTTATTATTTGCTGTGTATTTTGGATATTGACATTCTAAAAAAAATCTGGCTGGGGAGAGTATACCTCTCTTGGGGATAGCCAGTTCTTAAAGATAACAAGCCCCCAACCAGGAGCAAATCTTTGATATGCAGCTAACCAGTCCATAGCCACACTACTTCTCTCTTGTCCATACACCCTGGGAGACAATATTCCTCTGCCTTAATCATCTCAGGGCCAAGTACCAGACAGCTATAGACCACTCCTGTAGCCCAAAGCCTACCAAAATTATTTAAACTAGTCAATCCTAAAGTGTTTACTCTGCCCTGCCTTGCCTTTCCCATGGAAATTCCTGATACCTTACACTAAAATTAACTCCAGATGGATTAAAGACTTAAACATAAGACCTAAAACTATAAAAACCCTAGAAGAAAACCTAGGCAAAACCATTCAGGACATAGGCATAGGCAAGGACTTCATGACTAAAACACCAAAAGCATTGGCAACAAAAGCCAAAATAGACAAATGGTATCTAATTAAACTCCAGAGCAGAAGAAACAGTCGTTAAAGTGAACTGGCAACCAACAGAGTGGGAAAAAATTTTTGCAATCTACCCATCTGACAAAGGGCTAATATTCAGAATCTACAAAGAACTAAAACAGATTCACAAGAAAAAACCAGACCCATTCAAAAGTGGGCGAAGGACATGAACAGATACTTTTCAAAAGAAGACATATATGAGGCCAACAAACATGAAAAAGTGCTCATCATCATTGGTCATTAGAGAAACGCAAATCAAAACCACATTGAGATACCATCTTAAGCTAGTTAGAATGGCGATCATTAAAAAATCTGGAGACAACAGATGCTGGAGAGGGTGTGGAGAAATAGGAACACTTTCACACTGTTGGTGGGAGTATAAATTAGTTCAACCATTGTGGAAGACAGTGTGGCAATTCCTTGAGGATCTAGAAATAGAAATTTCATTAGACCCAGCAATCCCATTACTGGGTATATACTCAAAGGATTATAAATATGTTCTATTATAAAGACACATGCACATGTATGTTGATTGCGGCACTGTTTACAATAGCAAAGACCTGGAACCAACCCAAATGCCCATGAATGATAGACTGGACAAAGAAAATGTGGCACATATGCACCGTGCAATACTATGCAGCGATAAAGAAAACAGGAGTTTGTGGCCTTTGTAGGGACATGAATGAATCTGGAAACCATCATTCTCGGCAAACTGACACAAGAACAGAAAATCATATACTGCATGTTCTCGCTCATAGGCGGGTGTTCAACAATGAGAACACATGGACACAGGGAGGAGAGCATCACACACTGGGGTCTGTTGAGGGGAGTAGGGGAAGGATAACATGGGGAGAAATGCCAGATATAGGTGACGGAGGGATGGAGGTAGCAAACCACCTTGCCATGTGTGTACCTATGCACCAATCCTGCATGATCTGCACATGTACCCCAGAACCTAAAGTACAATAAGAAAAAGAAAAGGAGTGACTTAACTTCCCTTCACTCTTATCTTCTGCTGCCTGATCACCCTGGTGTGTTTCCCATGTGGCCCTGCATGGCATAGCATGCCTCTTGTCTCTAGGAGACCTTGTTTTTATCTGATCTCTTACGTCTTCTCTCATGGCTGCACCTGATTGGTCTCTTGTAAAAGAATACAAGACAGGTTTTTCTTCAGGTGGTTTATAATTTACTGCTGTTTTTAACTGTTTTGGTGTTGAAATTGTTCTAGATTTGACTAATGATAACCGCTTCATGCTGGCCCTTATGTTTTTGTGACATTTCTATCATTTTTCTTTGTTTTCTAATTTTTTGACATAATAATTTATTCCAGGTTCACTTTGTATCTCTCTTTCTATTCTGCCCAGCACTCAATTAGTCATCTCTTCTAGGAGTCCTGGTTTCTTTTATTAGGGAATGTTATTGGAACCAAGATCTGTATACATATTAGAAATCATGAGTTCAGACCATTTGGATCTATTTCTAAAAATAGTCCTCATGCTTTAAAGGGTACCATCAAGAAAGTAGCCCATAGAATGGGGAAAATATTTGCAATTTTTCTACAAGATACTTAGTGTGTCTGTATACACACATACACACACACACACACACATATGTATATAGGACTCTTGCAACTTAATAATAAAAGGAGAAAGCCCAATTTAAAATGGGCAAAGGATCGGAATAGGCATTGCTGCAAGGAAAATATAGAAATAGCTAATAAGCACATGAAAAGATGCTGAGCATTGTTAGTCATCAGGGAAGTGCAGAGTTGTTTTACCTAGCCATTATGTTTTAAGGCATGTATCTTTGACTCATAAAGAGAATGAAAATATTGTTAATGCCACATTGGGTGGCATGTTTCCGAGTTCTTTGTTTTGAAAATTAGGAGGACTAGAATATGATCAAGAGAAAAATTTTGTTATTTTTCTTTCACTTTTAAAATTTCCATTGTATTTTTGCAGATTCGGGTTTTCAGACCACCGAACTACTCTGGTACCATTGCTTTGGCCCTGTTAGTATCGCTTGTTGGAGGTTTGCTTTATTTGAGAAGGAACAACTTGGAGTTCATCTATAACAAGACTGGTTGGGCCATGGTGTCTCTGGTATGTTAATACATTGTGCTTTTTTTTTTTTTGTCCTATTCTTTGTATGATAGTATAAGTTGTATAGTATTAACAAAATGAACCAGATTATAACTATAATAGACTATAATTCAAGTCTGAATGAGAAGTAACTGTTTAGAACTTGGATAATGTAGTTTAAGTTTTCTGTCAGTCAAAACTATGCTGTCTTCTCTCTACTTTTCACTACTAAAATGTAATGTTCCTCTGTACTTGGCACAAGTGCTAAATAAATACATGTTGAATACTTCTAGAAATATGATAAGTTTTGATCAGAATTAATAGCTCAGAGTAATTTGCAGGTGGCTTAGAAATTCAGCAACTTCTGAATTTCTCATTCAGCTATTTCTTTCCTGACAGCTGTTTCTTGTGTCTCTTCTATGTGACTGATATTTGTTAGATTCTGGGGATATAAAGTTAAGAAATAGACTGCCTGTGAGAAATGCCTTGTGGGGATACAGAGGAAGCAACAAATGGAATAAGTTTATGTGTGCTATGATGGCAGTAAGCAACAGAGTATTACAGGAATACATAGAAAGACACCTAACCTAGAGTAAAGGAAAGACAGGTTTCCCAGATTATGACATGAGCTGAATTTTGTAGAACAAAATGAAATTCTAAAGTCAGTAAGGCCAAGTATTTGACATAAGTGAAGCCTGGGATATTCAGAGAACTATAGTTCTGTGTGACTGGAGCAATGATAGATGGCAAGGCAGAAGGGGCCAGAGACGACACTAGAGTTCAACAGTTCCCAACTCACAGCCAATAGCCAAAAATTATTTGGATTTTTATACACATAACAATTTAGGTAAAATTGAAAATAAAATCTCCTTCACAATAGGAAGGAAAAATATAAGGTACTTAAAAATAAATCTAGTAAAAATTGTATGAAATATTTATAAATAGAATTTTGAAATTAAGAATAGATACATACACATATATGTAGATAAATATATATCAGTGTATATCTATTATAGATATGTATTATGTCTGTAATTTAATACAGAGTGAGACTCTGTCTCCAAAAAACAAAAATAAAAATGTTATTAAAGATACAATGACAATATATTACAACTACAATGTATTATGTCTATAATAACATAATACATTGTTTACAGCTAGTTGTCAGTTTGTTTCTTTTGCTTTCTTGCAATAGCCCTTCATCCTTTCCATCATGTTTTCACCAAAAAATTAGGGGTCTTGATGACTAAGTTGGAAGTGGTAGGACAGACTGAGAAGCAGCCCAGGCAAGCGTCACCTTGAAGCAATTTCATTTTCTGCAACAATACTTAGAGCTCAGAAATTCAAACAGAACCTCTGTGGCTTTCTAGTAAATAGTCAAAATATAAATTAAATATTTGGTCTTTTAAGAGCAAGAGAGATAAGATTTTTTAAAGAAAGTTTCTTAATATTGTTTTTTCACTTTTGATGAATAAGTTAAAGTGGATTAATTAATTGTACTCTATTTAAAGTAATTGGACACTATGGGTGATCTTAATTACCTTAGTCATTAAGTTCAAAAGTGTTTTGGCTTTTTTCCATGCTAGTTTTCAAGTTGCTTCATTCGGTAAAGCTGCCCAGGTTTCTTGGTAAAAATGTGCCATTTTCAGTGTGTCACTGCAAAATTAAAACTTCTTTGGTATTTAACAGTTAATATCTTGTCACTATTTTAGTCTATCAAAAATTAATATAGTCTCATCTCTTAATTATACTCAAATAACAATAACCTACATTATTCTTATTCCTCAAGAAGAGCTCCGGAATTACTGCATTGTAAGCTAGTGATAATTGGCATTACTATTTACTGATCTCTTTCTTCTTTTGGGGTATGCTTCATAACTGTGCAAAGGAACTTATATTGTCCTCATTTGATAAGCATGGAAACAAAGATTCAGTAAGGTCAACTTGCAAAAGCTTACATAGCTAGAAAGTACCTGAACTGGGATTTGATCGCATTCGTCTGACTGCAAGCTGTGTATTATTTACACAAAGCTGGGCTTCTTTAAACCTGGGCACATATCTTATATGTTGGATATTCAACCCAGTAGATACGATGAGCTATCATGACTGCAAATAAATTCATAGAACAACATTTCTATGATGTATAGATGTTAAATACTTCAGTTGATCAATTTTATTGAAAACCTCTGCTATGTTATACAGATTTATTATTATTATTATTATTATTTTTTGCTGTTTTACTTTGAATCTTTGAAAGCGAATTAACCTGGCATGGCAGAAGATACTCTAAGATATCTTGGCAGATATGCCTGCTCCCCTATCACAGCCTTTTAGAAGTCAGTAACAGGCTACAAAGAAGAGACATATTTTCAAACAATGTATTTTAAAACACCACACTTTATAAATATTAATATAAATAATAAAACATTAATAAAATATTAATCAACTCTTGTAATACTTTTCAGCATCTCCTCCAGTTTTTCTTATTAATACAGAAATGCTTTTGTTTCATGGCCTTTGGAAACTCTTTAAATCACTTAAACAATCAGATTAAATATATAATTTGAGTCGTCTTTACCGTTGCCTTCCTGATGCCACTTGATTGTTGCTTATAAATTGAAAAGCTAAATTTGTTCATATCAAATTTTTCTTATCCTATTATGAGATTTCCTTAGAAAGTTAAGAGAGTGTTCAAAATGCTGACCTATTCATTCAAATTCTCAAACATTTGTCTATTTAAAATAACAAATACTGTAACTCATTTTTCTTTGAAAGTAAGGAAAACAATATATATTTTTAAATTTGCCAAAATATTGTCATCCGACTTATGCAAACTCTCATGAAAGCCTTTGATTGCACAGTAAAAGGAAAGCTCTTAAAATAAAACAGTAATGAACCATTTAAGAGTAGATGGCTTCCATAGAACAAAAAGAATATGTACAAAAGGGAGGAAAATGAATGAGAGAAATATCTGGTACTGAATCTCTAGCCCCAGGCTGACTTTTTAGTAAAGAACAACTCTAGGTGCATTTAGCAGTTGTGTCTTTTTATCATTGAACCTATACAAAAGTACATCCAAGGAGAATTATTTAGTGTTATGAACACTTAGTTCTGGGTAGACTGTATTCTAAGGCTGGTATTTTTTTTCCTTTTTTTTACTGTAGTATTAATTTTTTTGTATGTGACTTAAAGTTAGGGTAAGAATGAAGTATATGCTGGGAGAGAGGAAGTTATCATATGCTGTAGGGTGTAGGATAGAGACAGGTTGCAATTTCTTGACACAGAGGAAGTAATACATGCAAATATTAAAACATACATATATGTTAGAGCCTCTTGGTTCTCAAGAGCTAAAGATATTCATAAGTAAATCTTCCTGGTCTCATGCTTCCTAAAGGCGGAAAAATTTTTGTTAACTACTATTTCTAGATCCTGATGATTGTTCATAGAACAGAATATGTATCATTGATTGGTTCTGGTTTCACTCCCTTCTGCCTTCTCTCACCCCCTAAATATGGAGGATGGTGGACAATAAGCATATACATTACTTGCTTTATGATGAACTTAAAGTAGAATGATTGAGTAAAATATTGAAATACACTAGTACATAATTTCAGAGTGTAGCATAGATATGTAGTTTATGGTCTTGAGAAAACAATATTGACTTGGAAACAAAATGAGTTAAAATAGTGTGTTTTGTAGCCCATAATGAAGCTGTTCATAACAACCTATTCGTAGGTGACTGTCATTTCAAGCCAGAAAATATTAGTAGTATGAGTAGCAACATTCGTTTCAAACACAAAGGAAAATATCCTAAGGTTATGCACTTAAAAGCATGAAAGATAAAGCATCATTAAAATCATCTAATAACCCAACCTTATAATCACAGTAAATCACAATAGGATAAAAGTTGTTTTCTGCTTTCTAATACTATCTGTATTGATGACTCCTATACCCTCCTGTTTCTTTTGCCCCATATTTTGTCATTTTAATGATTTAAATTCTTTGCAAATCTTCAAATTGGAAATTCGTATACATTACTATACAATATTCACATTCATGGAAGGTGCTTTGGCATGGACACATTGTGATTTATCAATAGAAATTTATTTCTTGTGACCAGAGCTACCGATGGCTCTGAGTTCATATGGGGTAGAAAAGGGTCTTTTTTCTTTCAAATTTATTTGAATGAACTTATATAACTTTTGATATATACAAATAATCTTTATGTTGTTCTCTTTAAAAATGAGGAGGAAATAATTGTTGATAATATTTTTTCCAATGAAGTAACTTGTGTTTGGATGACCCCAGACAGTTTTGCTCATCAGGCAACTATGCCATTTGGCCATTTGAAGTTGGGTATGGTTTTTGCAAACAGGTATTTCTATGAGCAGCCATTTGTGTAAAGAGTTAGGAAAACAGAATTTTAAAATGAATTCGTAAATTTTTAGAATATACTTAATATATCTAATTCTTAATTTTCTCTAGTAAGAGGAAGCAGTACCTTCAATAACTCAAAGAACATTTTTAAACTATTCATATATGGATAGATTTTTAAATTTTAATGTTGTTGGCTGAGTTTCTGCTTATCTTATTATAAAGTCACAATTAAGTAAGCCTCACTGTGAAGTTTCCATACATGAATCTACTACACTTCATGCACGGCTAATCTTCTTAATCCAGCTCTATAGTGGTTTTAAATACTTGTTGAAATTGTTTTCCTCAACGCATATTTCCTTTCCATGGAATTGAAGACTTTGTCTTAGGAAGGTTTTTTTGTTGTCGTTGCTGAAATGACCATAAAGATACTTCTCATCTTTTCTTTCTTTCCTTTTTTTTTTTTTTTTTAAAAAAAGGAGTATTATGGATTGAACATAAATGGAAGAAAAAATGATAGTATTTCTTTTTTTTTTTTTTTTTTGAGACGGAGTCTTGCTCTGTCGCCAGGCTGGAGTGCAGTGGTGCAATCTCGGCTCACTGCAACCTCTGCCTCCTGGGTTCAAGCGATTCTTCCTTCTCAGCCT